AGATACGGCACATCTGAAATTGTCCAGATTAGAAAGTCCTTTGGAAAAATGAAGAAATGGAAAGGATGTGAGATAGACGAGCCCTGTAATACCTTATTAAAAGTAATAAACAGATCAAAGAAGATCCCTAATGGATCAAAGGTTCTCCAAATCCAGTATTCTATTCCCACTGCAAATGACCAGCAGCTAACTAGAACATTTAAGGAAAACATAAATGTAGATCCATTTTCTTGCACAAGTTTCCTAGCAACTGATATTACCACACTGAAGGTATCTATCTACTGAGATTAGTAAACGAAAGAGATTTTCATGCCAGCATTAGTTAAATCCTTTGAGATTTGCTTGCTTAGGGCATGCAATGTGCACAGAAAAGTAGTTTGCTGATACGGTATTCGTTTATCACTAAATAGTATCACAGTTACATAACACGTTGGCATATACTGCAACATACACTGCTAACTGCCTCCCCATATGTGGAAAGGGCGAGATCTGGTTTTGATATAATTCTTTTGTCCCCAGGAGTTATTAAAATATATTTAGGAGAAAAGAAAGTAAATCCCCTCTAATAAAATGAAATCTTATGCTTATCTTCTTATTTACATGAAGTTCTGTGCAAAAAGTATAAAATGCACAAATAGCTCTTACAGAAGACATTGTGCCAGTTATGCCATGTATTTTTTTTTTTTTTAAAAATGCTTGAATCAAAATATAGGACATTCTGACTCATAGGAGGGTAGTTTTTAATCATACACAACCAAACTTTCTCTGAGAGGAGTGAAACTAAATCCAAAGATGATTTCCTGCTTATGCAACTGTTCCATAAGCATTAGTATGAAAATACTTATGTATTAGTATGAAAACTGCCACATGTTATTTTGCCCTATGAAATCTTATAGAAGAGCACCAGTAGCTGTTGTCCTTTTCTGTGACAATTTCTTAGATACAACTCAGAGTAGTGCATAGTAAAAAGACATTCAATTTTACCTCGCACAAGACAAAGGACTAACCACTTCTCAGCTCCAGTTCAGATCACTGTACGTTTATAATTCATTATGCTGCAAGAATCTAAGGAGTCTGATAAACCACAAGGCCAAAACTGTTGTCTCCATGCACAATTTTGTGTACTTCCATCATACTAACTTCCCTCTAGGTCAGGGGTTAGCAACCTGTGGCTCTGGAGCCACATGTGGTTCTTTCACCCCACTGCTGCGGCTCCCTGTCACTCAAAATATGTGTCACAACCGCCAATGTGCGACACCCACCAGCACGTGATTTATTGAGTTTTTCAACCCCTGGTAGGCCAACCATGGATAAATCCAAGAAAAGAAAAGGTTCAGAACGTTTAATTCAACTACATATACTAGTTTTGTGGCCACTCAAGAAATAGTCAGGCATGGGAAGGGTTTTGTGGCTCCTGGTGTTTTCTTTTCTGTGGGAAACAGATCCAAATGGCTCTTTTGAGTGTTTAAGGTTGCAGACCCCTGTTCTAGGTTAAAGAACCTTAGATTCTATTACTGGGGATCCTCCATGTTCTAGGCCCCTATTAATTTGAGTGGCCCTTTCTGGCACAACTCCAGCATTTAAAAGATGCCAGTAGAACATGCATGTTCAGGCAACCAATGCAAGGAGACCAGATTACTCGCTATAAGGAATGTCAAAAGATCCAAGGGAATTCATCTCTTTCTTTGGTTGCAGGGTCAAGTGTAAGGAACACCTCAATTGGATTTGAAAGGCAGAGTGGGGGCTGGACTGCATTTGCAGCTGTTCTGGTCTGTCAAATCAAGGGACTCTGCTGTATAGCCAACAAGATCATTAATGTAAGGCAATGGGGTCTTTCAAGATGCATTTGGGGGGGGAGGAGTGCTTGTTTTCCTTTAAGAGGCTTGTGAAAGTTGGGGAATAGAGGGGAGGGAAACAAGAAGGGCAGCCTGCCTTCCCAGGTGTATGTAGTGTGGGAAAGCTCTAAAAGCACATTCCTCAAAAGAAGGAAGGAAATGTTCTGAGCATCCCATGAAGAGCTTTCATCAGCACTTTGGAAAGGTAAATAATGTCCAGAGATAAAGAGCTTTTTAAAAGACATTTAAAAAAAACACCCATGGTTGGGGTGGACTCTTTCTTCTTTTAAACAGCTGAGATTAATTTATTTTTTGCTGGAAAAGAATTTGAGTCTCTGGGTAGTATTCCACCCTTAAAACTGCTTTGAGAATGTATATGCTCAACATACACACAGTTACCATCAGTGAAGTAACATTCGGTGACTTGGATCACCCAGTGCATTTACTTTGAATATTGAATTCACCAATATTTAGGGTTCATTCAATTAATCAGTCTGGATTCATAGAATAGGACTAATTAAACCAGGACTAGCAGCATGGAAAACTCATCTCCTGGTCTTCTATTATTTATTTTTATTTATTTATTTATTAGATTTTTATACCGCCCCCTCTCCCGAAGGACTCGGGGCGGTGAACAGCCAAAGTTAAAAACATACAATACAAACAATTAAAAATACGTTTAAAACAGAATTAAATCTAAATGGCTCCCCAATTTAAAATGCCTTACCCATACCCCTATAAAAAGACGAATTTAAAATTTAAAAATTTAAAATTTCCACATTTAAAAAGGGGGAAGATTTAGGCCAGGCCAGCTTGATAAAATAGAAAGGTCTTAAGCGCGCGGCGGAAGGTGCGCAGATCCGGGATCCTACGTATCTCCGGGGGGAGCTCGTTCCAAATCGTAGGTGCCCCCACAGAGAAGGCTCTCCCCCTAGGGGCCGACAGCCGACATTGTTTGGCCGACGGCACCCGGAGGAGCCCCTCTCTATGGGAGCGTACTGGCCGGTGGGAGGCTATTGGTGGTAGCAGGCGGTCCCGTAAATAACCAGGTCCTAAGCCATGGAGCGCTTTGAAGGTGATAACCAGAACCTTGAAGCGCACTCGGAAGACCACCGGGAGCCAGTGCAGCTCGCGCAGGAGAGGTGTCACATGGGAACTCCATGTCGCTCCCATCACTACCCGCGCGGCCGCACTCTGCGCCAGTTGGAGCCTCCGAGTGCACCTCAAGGGGAGCCCCATGTAGAGAGCGTTGCAGTAATCCAGACGAGAAGTAACGAGGGCATGAGTGACTGTCTGTAGGGAGTCCCGATCTAGATAGGGACGCAACTGGCAGATCAGGCGAACCTGATGAAAAATCCTCCCGGACACGGCCGTCACATGCTCTTCTAACGACAGCCGTGAATCCAGGAGGACACCCAAGTTGCGAGCCCTATCCGTGGGGGCCAATGATTCGCCCCCAATAGTCAGCGATGGCATTAGCTGACTATATCGGGACGTCGGAAACCACAGCCACTCGGTCTTGGATGGGTTGAGCCTGAGCCTGTTCCTCCCCATCCAGATCCGTACGGCCTCCAGGCACTGGGACATCACTTCAAGGGCATCGTTGGGGTGGTCCGGGGTGGAGATGTACAGCTGGGTGTCATCCGCATACTGATGGTGCTTCACCCCAAAACCACGGATGATCTCGCCCAGCGGCTTTACATAAATGTTGAACAAAAGGGGCGAGAGGATCGATCCCTGCAGCACCCCACATATGAGGGGCCTCGGGGTCGACCTCTGCCCCCCTGTCAACACAGACTGCGACCGGTCGGAGAGAAAGGAGGAGAACCACCTTAGTACGGTGCCTCCCACCCCCAACTCTTCCAACCGGTGCAGCATGATACCATGGTCGATGGTATCAAAAGCCGCTGAGAGATCTAACAGGACTAGGACAGAGGAGCAGCCCCTGTCCCGAGCCCTCCAGAGATCATCGACCAACGCGACCAATGCCGTTTCCGTGCTGTATCCAGGCCTGAAACCCGACTGGAACGGATCCAGATACGACGCTTCATCCAGGTACTGGGGAAGCTGTCCCGCAACCACACTCTCAACAACCTTCGCCACAAAATGATTATCATCATTCATTGGAGACTACTATATTGTGAATTTATGGATTCCAATTTTCATAAGCACTCCTTCTAATATAGAAGGCGCCAATTCATATTTTGCTGATACACTTTAGCCCTGTTACTCATAATTAAATTTATTGGATATATTTATTGATCCAATGCCACAGGATCAGACCACTTATTCAACTTAACTATTAACCAACTATTACAACTTAAATCAGGCACATGACATATTTTTCTTTCATCAATTAATTTTCTTTATTTCTAACTGTAAGGTTAGGCAATGGTCAGTTTTGATACATCTTGGTGAATATGCCACAAGCAAAAGCACAGTCCAGTTCAACTGTTCATGCTATTCCTTACAAGCTACTTTCTCTAAGCCAGAGACTACTTTTAACTGAACATACTGCTGGCTGCATCCCATAAATTGGATCTATAGGCAGTATATATATATTCAGGGTGCAAAAATATTTAATATTTAATATCTATGAACAAAGAATTATCTACAAATGGGGATTTAAATATAATGACATAAATGCAATATGTATTCTAAAAATGTTAAGCAAAGAAATATGGGAAATAATGTAATAGAGGCAGCAATTTACTCAGGAAACAACATGATATAAGATATGGCTATATATTTGTGTAGTCATGCAAAATGGCATATTTGTATGTGTGCATGTGTTTGTGTCGAGAGAGAGAGAGAGAGAGAGAGAGAGAGAGAGAGAGAGAGAGAGAGAGAGAGAGAGAGAGAGAGAGAGAGAGAGAGAGGGTGAAATAACTAAAATCATTTGGGTATCCATGGAAAAAACATAATGATTTTATAACATTTAACCATTTTGTGAAATTTAGACCTTTTACTTTTTTAAACAAATAATGCTTTAATTGAAGATAAGTGAGCACTGTTTATTACCCCCTGCAGTACAGGGTAGGTGGTTCTGTGCAGCACAAGGGTGCCTCAATGTCATTCTGAGTGCTGTTTGAGAAAATTGTTCCAATGGAACATATTGACCCTTTCTGTAAGTGTTCTTGGCTGAAACAGATTTTGCATACTAACCATGCATTTGGTAAGCATAAGGTGTCTGGCCTGATGTTGCTGTTGTGAAGCTGGATCCATAGCTAAGAAATCCACTCTGACCAGGTGAATGGCTCAGGCTATCTTCTGTTTTGATGGCTTAAGAGACAAAGCATATATATTACTGGGAAGCTGATATGAAGCACGCACAAATATTTAATGCACTAAGATTATTTTCAGTAGTGTTTGTCCCTACTGTACCCCCAATTCATCCAGCAGAAGATGGAACAATCTCCAAAATAAAGGGCAATATGGCATAGCATTTTTCAGATAAGAAAGGGAAGGGAAAATGTAATTGTTCAAAGGCAGGGAGGCAATTTGAATCCTAACTCTTATTCATATCTTAGAGAATAACGAAGTTTCTATTAATGGCCTTTCAGGAGAATTAGAAGTTTTTGTACAGCATTTAGCTTGCACTCGACATTAATTATGGGGGGGGGGTCGCAGATATATACAAAACACCATATGAATCATATTTTACCTTTAAAATATAAGAGATCCCATTGCAAGCTGCGTGTCTGCCCAATAACCCTGATTTATGGTTGCCTCTTGCAACCATTTTAAAAAATGGAGCAAATTTCCTCAGGGGATAACAATGGCACACAACCTTGATATTTGCAAAGTCATTTCCTCGTGAGAATATCTGTCTGTTGTACTAGGTCTGGGCATTCTCTGCATCCTATCCCTTAAATGTTGCCACCTAGCAGGGCCTAGATAGCACACCTTCATGGTACATGACTCTACTCTTTGGAATACCCTCCAGATCTGGCACCCTATCCTCCTGGCCTTCTAAAAAGCTGTGAAGGCTGGCTTTCCCCACAAAGTTTTAGATAGTATGAGTCTGGAGACCAGGGAAGCTCTAAATATTGTTCTGAATATGTTGCATTTGGGCACCAGGAAATTTTTTGTTGGCTTTTATATTCTTTACTGTTTTTACTGCTTGATTATTGTTTGTGAGTTGCCATAAGATTGGCAGCTATAGAAATCTTTTAAATAAACAAACTTCCCATGCCAAAAACAAGCCAATTTGTTTGGGCAACCATGAGTGATTATAAGTTACTACTGCCGACTCCATAATTGTTGGTATCTGAATTGGACTTTTGTGGGTATACGGTAGGAGAAATTGTTTTTGTTTCCCTGACATTTATATTCTGATTGCAATCGGCAACTTGCATGCAGAACACTCAACACATTATAGGCTTGGCCACAATTAATCTTCAGTGACAGATGCTTTCTGGAAGCCTGTTTCAGACAAAGAAATAACTTGGCACCAAATTAATTTCCACATAGTTCTCCGTTTTGTCTAGGAACTTGGGATAGTTTTACTTATGAGCCAAAAAAACAATAGTACTTCATTGTTCTTGGTTTTCTGCCAGGTGGGATTTTTCAGAATGTACAGAATTCCATGGTGGGTGTAATGAATAGGGAGGGGGGAAAAGAGGAGAGGTTATTGTTCAGAAGATGCAACTAGGTACCGTAAGAACTGCGGACACTTCAGAGATGCCCCCTAACCACATATCTTTGTGGATCAGCATAAGTCCTTTGGGATGGTGGCAATAAATAAATAGATGAATAAATAAATGTTTGAAAAATAATGGACCAGTTAGTCACCAAAGGACTAGTCTTCACCTGCTGTTAATAACAACTGTTCAGTGTTTTTCTTGGCTTTTATCCAGCTAATATAACCTTACATATATATAAGTATGATTCCAGGAAAAAAAATTCTCAAGCCATAACGATTAAAATTAGAATCATAAGGCCTGTCTTTCTACTATAGAGAGATGTTTATGAACTGATTTGAAATTCTCTTACTTATTTAGTCGATCAGGAACTCATTTAAATATTTAAATTTATGAATGTTTTAAAAGTCCATGTCAATTTATTATGTTTCAAAAATCATAATCCAGGATATACGATGAATCATGAAGAGTTCCTATACAGTAGTGGCCAAAATTGTGGAAACCTTTTGGGAAAAGGTTTTGTATTTTTGAGGTTTGATGGCTAATAACACCACTTTTTTTTTTTGGAGTTTCAAGATAATTATATTCTACTGCTGGAATGGCCTGGGAATAGCCCAACTGAAAATCTATGGAGCTGACTCAAGAAACTTGTTAGTCAGAAGCAACCCAGCAATAAAACCCAGTTAATAGAAGCAAGCATTCAATCTTGGTTTCACATTATAACAGCTGCAGAACTAGAAGACATGGTTCACTCCATGGGAAGACGTTGTAAGGCCATAATTCATGCTAAAGGTTACCCAACTAAGTATTAACTGACGTGATAATCTTTGTATACATTTTTTCTATGGTGATAATTTTTGTATATCTCATTTTTTCTACGTGTTTCACTTTTCTTTTTTATACTATAACTGCTATTCTAATAGCAAATCCTTCATAAAAGTTATTGCATTACATTCTTGATTAAATTATCTTTCCGTTAATATATAATTTTATGGTACTACTCCAAAAAAAGGGGTGTTATAATACACTTTTCCCAAAAGATTTCCACAATTTTATCAACTACTGTAGAGTATATGTCTACTCATATGTAAGCTCCATGAGAAGGGAGTACAGAATTTCAAGTATAAGGGATTAAATCTGTCAAATGCTTCCAATAAAAAAGCCTCGGCAGATTACAAAATATTCTATGTTTGAACCTCTATCATGGCCAAATATTACATTTTATTTCATGCTTGATTATAAAAAGAATACAATGTCTCATGGGTCATAACATACATTTAATAATTAACTTTCTCTTAGGACTGTTCAGTTGTAATACCAGCTCCTTATTTCTATTCTTTTAAACTACGTATATATGAATACTGACCTAGAATGTGGAAGAACTGATTACGGGCAACTGCTGTGAAAAATTACAAAATCTTTAAAGGATGACTAAAAAAACCTAAATGTGTGTCTAATATTATTAATTAAGAAGCAATGCAATGGGTTAGAACATGTAGTAATCCATTTTGAATTTCTGGAATCTGATATTGCTACCTATAATTTACCACAAAACCTGTCATGCCAAAATAAACTGAAACTGAACTGGGCTGGCAATTTAAATTTAGATTCAGTATCAGGAAACTTTTTATGGTCTAGGTCTTGGAACAGTCGATAATATGAACATGCTGACTTATGCTGTGTGATTCATTTGGTCGGTATAAGCCTACAATCACTTTAGGTTGGTGAAGAAGAATAACATTTGCACAGTTACTTGCATATACATAGGAAATTGAGTGGATCAATGTATTTATTTGCACAGTCCAACCTTTGGGCCAGTTATTTTACTTTAAGTCACATATCGTGCTCTTTACGTTCTCGAGAAGTTTGCATGCCATGAACCAGAAGTTCTTCGAAAACTAACAAATAAAAAGATCTTTCCAACTTGAAAATATTACTTACTTGATGACTGTTTAATAAAAAGAATCATGGGCAATTTGGAATTGCTTAAAATATCAATCGATCTATCAATCAGACTAGAGCTGGAAAGGACTTTGGAGGCTCAAGCAGGAGACCCTATACCATTTCAGTTGAGTGGCTGTCCAGTCTTTTCTTAAAAATCTCCAGTGATGAAGCACCCACAACTTCTGAAGGCAAACTTAGGCAGAGGCGCTAAGCAGGTACCCATACTCTGCAAATTTGCCATAAGGGAAATAGGCAGATGTAAAATATAATAGAGCTTTGGGTGGGGCGTCAGAGCTGTTCCCAATTTTCTACTGGATTGGTACTAGTATTGGCAACAATATTGCATAAATAATATTTTAAGACAGATAAAATATGACCCTGGTGTCATGAATTGGTGAGCAGTTTAGCTGCTGAATCTTGCATCAACTAAAGCAGGATTTTTCAAACTGGGTTGTCTGGAATTCTAGGTCCATCAAATGAGGATTCGATGGAGATCCATAAGAAACGAAGGGAAAAATCAAATAACTCCAATATATAAATTAGCAGGCATAAATTACAACAATCACAAGTTTTGTTTTATTACCAATTTTATATCAGTCAATTAATTGTTCTGAGAACATTGTATGAAAAATCCTGAATTAAACTGTTCAGATACTCTTCTGAGACAGCCTTCTCAATAGCATACTGCAGTAATCTTTTGGTTTTCCAATTTAAGAGACATTGCTGCAGTTAGACTTACAGACTTGATGCAGTTCAACAATAGATAATTGTAAATCAAATTGAAAAGCAAACAATTAAGAAAGCCGAGTTTTTCTTATTAACCAGTGTACTACTTACAATAGGAAGGAATTCCATATGGTTGCCCAGGGGGTGGATACGCAGTATAAGCAGCAGTTTGCTGGATGCCTGCACTGTACTGAGTCTGCCCATAAGTAGCCATTGTTGCAAAGGATGGAACTGTTACTATATGGGGATAATGTCTAATCAAGAAAGAAAGAAAACTATTTACATCAGTTGATCACTTTCGGCAATGACTATGAGATGACATGAATAATTAAGGCGTTTATTGGAAAGGAAAAGTAGCTTTTCCTCCCTCAAATAATATATCTGTAAAATGGAAGCATTTATATTCTCTGTAAAAATAGCAATGGAGAGTTAAGAGGTTTTCCCCCCCCCTTTAATCTAATTTTCTGTTTGGGAAAGGGTGTTATTTTAAATTCATAGTCACCTTTCCTCTGGGTAAACATTTTATGTTTGGTATTATACCAGTAATTCTATTACAACCCTGAAATTGTCAGATCCATATTTTGCACTGTAGTTTTGGGCCAATCTCAGAGGCAGCCCTATTACAATCCATTGAAGTAATTCAGATTTCAAATTTTAGAAAGTATTGTGATTGGAACATTAATCAAAACTGTCCAAAAGGCACTGTGCCATAAAGGCCATATAATAGTAATGGTTATAGGATTACCACCAAGTATAAGCAATATTTTGATTTTGTCCCACAGTGCTTTGGTATAATAGTCATTACCACAGGTGAGTAATGCCCTTCATACTCTTAATGATTTCATGCAGCAATTCCTGATCAATTTTAAACAGAAGATGAAACTGATGTATGCTAAAGTCAAAGCACATGGAATTGCCTTCTAAAAACATCCAATTACAGAATGGAACTCCTACAGAGCAATTGTGTCATGACCTATCCAAAAAAGACAGCTGGTTCAATTATATCAAAGCTACTGAGAGGTCAAAGAAAATCAGCAAGATAACATTCCTTTACTTCTCTTGCAGAGCAGTCAACTCTGCCACAACCAGCTCTGATCTTGACCAAAATGGATTCAGAAAAATCAGTTTCTTTCAAAGAGCATAGATTTGGTCAGTCACTAAATGCTCAAAGCTTAACACTGACTTAGGTTTGTAAACGCAGATGTCCAAATCAGTAGTGATACTACTGCATCCTTTAAGAAAGTTTGGACCAACCCCTCTCATAAAAATGATTAGGAGCAACAACATTTGTGTGACTAATCTATGAAACCTTGAAATGAAACTTGGGTACATTTAATTCAATAATAGAATAAATTTGCTAAATAATCTGAATTGGTTTAAACCCATGATAGACGATATTATATTTTGTACTTACATACTCTTCTACAACTTAATGCCTATTACATATGCCAGACTTCAATTCCCCCTAATTTCCAGCATACATAATCAAACTGTAATGAGATTAAAAATTCTGGGGATTTTTAGCCCAACATATTGAACAATCAGCAGATAAAGGAAGACAGCCTGTCAATGAAGACAAAATGCTTCTTGTCTGATAATATTTGATGTGATATGTAGACATTACCAAAATAATAATTTGCTTTCACAATCTCTCTCTCTCTCTCTGTGTACGTGTGTATTTATCTATGCTCATACTGATTAGCATCAATTTATCATTTCTACTCAGAATTAATCTCAGAGAAATCAGAGGAAATGTGTTAAGAAAATGTACTTCAGATCACAGTGGAATATTTCTATAATTGGCTGTCAATCCCTAAAAACAAATGTTTTATTCTGACAGCAATCATTCAATATAGCTCTCTTACTTGGTAGTGTAAAGATGAAAAGAATGTCGAGGTGCAGATTTCTGGTTGCCTGTAAAACAAAATTCGCACAGTTAACGCCATCAACTGTATTAATGCCAATGAAATAATAATCTGTTCATTGCTTGCCAAGATCTTTGAATAATTGCAGTACAAGAATAATAATCACATTCATAATTGTTTGAAAGGTTATGGGTTATGTTAATATAATATATCTGGACCCAGCTAAAGAAAGTGTCAGTATTTAAATGAGAGACAATGGATAAGTGTGCTGTTCTTTGAAGGGGACATATTAATGGCAAACATTTAAGTCACTTTGATAAGTCTTTAGTAAAACGAAGAAACAAAGTCATCAGCATTCTCAAAGAGTTCTCAAAACATTGGAATTTACTTATCTCACAAGGGCTTGAAAGTATCCATCTACAGTCTACAAGAGTCTAGCAGGCCAAAATTCAGAGCCATCAGCAAATACACTGAACAATTCTTAAGAAATTATTCAACATCTTTTTTTTGGCATTTCTATCTTAACCATACAGGAAACCGAACAATTTGGATATATTAAAATGGATAAGATAAAATGGACAATAGGCCATTAGTCATTTGTTTACAGTTTTATGTTGTGGCCTGCCGGCGGCCAGTGAAGCTGACAGCGGAGTCAGACAGTGAGGAGGTTGGGGAGGAACTTGGGCCAGTCCTGGGGGCTGAGGAAAGCTTGGACGAGGGCTCTGCATTGGAGACAGAGAGGGGGCCAAGGCCATCTGAAAGTTATGTGCTGCCTCCGGAGTCTCCGGAGCCTGACATCAGAGAGGCAGAAGAACAGCGGGAGCCTGTTCCCAGTGTGTGCATGCGCAGAGTTGCCAGAAGAGAACAACAATTAAGAAAACAGGGGCGACCTGGGAGTAAAGCTTGGAGATGATTGGCCCTTCCCATAATATATAAAAGAGGAGCGAACAGGATGTGAGCTTTTGCAGGAAGCAATTAGTTCATCTGGTTGGTTCAAGCTTTGAAAAATTCTGTTTGACTCTGTGCCAAGTTTGGCCTTGCCCTGCGTTTGGCAATTAGTTCTCTGGCAGCATTCCAAGGGAGATAAGGTGGGTGTTTATAAACATTCCCCTGAAAGACAGTTTGTGAAGCTTTGCGGACTGTGAATGACAATAATTCACAGCCGTATAAATAAAAGAGGTTTTGCCAGGACTAAGATTGTGCTTTATACTTTCTCAGGAAGCCTAGGTCAGAACATTTTATTTCAAAAATTAGCTAGTTCAAATTCAATTTTTCAGTTCTAATTTGAAGAGACATTATGGCCACCATAGACAAAGCACTCATATTGTACCAACATATGGTCAAGACAGTATCAAGTGACCCTTTGCCTTACCCACAATGTACTTTGTATTGATACATAAAGAAGATTCGTCATGCATAAACCTACATTCATTTTCTGAGTACCATAGAAGAATTCACTCTTGTAGTATTACATATGAAGGCTCTTTTCTTAAATTGTCAGCAGCCAAATTAATTGCCAAAATCTAGCTGGAATGATCTAATTTCCAGCTCAGGCACAGATTGTTGTCATCTTTCTGTAAGTTCTATATATGTCATAAAGCAAGATGGGTCTCTCAGAAAGCTGTAAGTTGTTGGGAACAGCTTCAATATGTATTCACAATAGTTAAACACACTGTGTTTCAACCACTCTCAGGATAATCCCAAACATAAAAAATAGGGGGGTGGGGAATAAGCTGCCTTCCCCTCTCCTCTCTTGTGTTTCCCAAGTCCTCATGAGTGAAGATGTGTTGAAAATGTGTTGCTACAAATTTCTAATATGGCACAAAACAATAAGAAAACTATTTAGGCTTTTAAATCGTTGGAGGTAAGGCTTTAATATTCTCGGCCATCTCACTTCTCTATCAACAATTTTCTTTGCAAATAATTCAAATAACTGTAAATCTGTATCTAAAAAAATACAAAAATTCTGCTTTTGATTAAGGATGATGATGATGATTCCTGGTTTTCTTTTCTTTTCTTTTCTTTTTGCAAGGTCAACTAGCAATCTAAATCTCAAGACTATTTTCACTGGCAAAGCACGATGTATAATTTCCATTTGCCAGTCTGATTGTGGATATTCATTCTTGAAAAATCCCTCATTGATCAATTATATGTCTTGCAATGTAAAAATAATTCTCTCAGATTATTACATGGCTTTGCTTCACTTTTCTCATGTCTTGCTACCTTTCTTTTGAGGGCAGAGGATAGTTGAAATAAACTGGTGATTGTTTTGCCAAAGCAGCAAACAAAAGCGAAACATAAAGAGAACTGGATTCCTAGGTAACTTGTAACTCCAGTACAGTACAATCATGTTCTCAACTGGATTTTTAAATTGGACTGTTTACTTTCTTCAAAATGCTAATTAACTAACTAACTGATAATGGATATTCCATTTTCAGTAGCCTTCTATTTACAAGCTCCCTTTGTTTTGTGAATATTAAATTAATAAGAATGTGCTTAATATGGTAAATTAGCATTTTGACATATTTAACGCTGATATAAAGAATCTCATTAACATGGACGGTTTTCTACTTTCTCCAGATATTTCTTTTTAATTATTCCACCATTTAATATTTGTTTCTGGATCTCTGTTTTAACTATAACCAATCTCTTTCCTTCAATCCAACAGTTTTTTAAGGTTCCTTTTTGCTCTAAATTACCTTTCCCTCTCTGCCAACAAATACCTGATTTATAAGTACTGGGATGAAAGTTTGTATTCTCTCACTAACTAATTTTGAACATATTGATATTTCCTTTTTTTAAAAAAAGGAAACAAAATAAAAATAATTGAAAAGTTCTTTGGAATTTCAGATTTCCAAATATTATTTTAAACCTACTAATTTTTTTAAAAAAGCCACTTGCAATAGGTGCTAATTTTAGCTTACTGTTTTTTCATTTCAATATTATCTCACTGATGGTACAAATATTTTTTCTTTAAGCCACCTTTCTTTTTGATGCCGTAACAAGGTAACTCTAACTTCTATTGCATTTATAAATCCAAGGGATTGAAATAGATTGAAAAATCAATCTGGAAGCTAGATGACTAGTTCATCTGGAAATATTTACTTCTCATTTGATCCAGTGAGATTTACTCATGCAAAGCAGCAATCCATGCCATGTTGCCAGTATTAAAAGTACATCGATCTATGATCCAGGATTTCCAATTAATGGCTGAGTGGTGCACAATTATGGAAATTGAATAAGGGTACAATTGTAGTCTCATCAGGTAAAATAGCTTTGGACTTTCTTTTTTGGGAAAGGACAGGACATATTGTTGTAGAAGTCATGACAGCAATTTACAAGACAATGTCTGCTCAAAATTATTCATATTTTCAAACCTACAAGTAAGATTGTAATCCAGGGTTTCTGTCAAATATATTATGATTGCAGGATTAGACATAATTGCATGTCAAGAGTTAATCATTCTACTTAATAAGCTAGGGCTTCTGTCATCTCCCTTTCAATAGGCAGATAGCTGGACTTTTAATTCCAGCAAACAATAGCTAGAACTGTACTAGCAAAAACTAGTCCAGCCACATCATTTGCCAATAATTTAAAAAACAGATTTAACATTCCATCTTCTTTTCCTACCCCCATTATTTTTTCATACTGTCCAAGTGAAGAGAGAAAATGGGAACTCGGGTAAGTAAGGCAGATAAATTTCCATTGCCTGACCTCAAATGCCAAAAGAATGTGTCTTAATACCTGCCAAGCATGAAACTTCAGACCGCAGTTTGGAAGGAAGATTGTGTGTATGCATGTGTGTGTCTGTGAGTGTGAAAGAAAGAGAATGAAAAGTAATTATAACGCTGTCAGCTTTGGATTCCTGATCTTTCAAAAAGCCACATTTGTAAGAGCAGCATCAGCACATCTTGCAATAGGCAGGAATGATTCAAAAGACCACTGTACCATCCTTTCCTCTGTCCATATCGCCTCTAAATTATGCACAACCAAAACCAGTGATATTGTATAAGATTTCATTTCCTAATGGGTTTCTATGAATGTGATGGAAGAACTGAAATCCAAACACATTCAACATTTTAGAATATTCACATGCGTGGGATATGCTGAAGCAAATTAACTGTATTTATGAATTTACCTGCAAATGTTTAACAGTCGAAGTTGATTATGTATACTCAAACACTAAATGCAGAAACCTTCAGCAAGAGAACTGAAACTGGAGAAACTTGGAATAATGTTTAAGGCATCCTCTGAAGCTTCCCCAAATAAAAATTACGGACAATATTTAAAGCAGAGAAGACTGGAACTTAAAGTTCCATTCTTTTTAGAGACTGCTGGAGCATACAAAGCCCAAGGCCAAATGCATTTTTAAAATCTGCTACTTTTCTAGTGTCAGATAATAACTAAAATAACCTTTGAGCTAATGTTGACATTAGAAATGCAAAGCAATACTACGAGAGGCTTTCAATTACTCATAGCAGGCATATTAAATCTCATTATTTGTACATTTAAATAAAAATCTTTCCTCAGACATTTTCTACTTTGTCCTTTAACTATCCTAAAATCAACAAGCAAACAAAAGACAAACTTGAACTCCTCTTTGATCTCAACCTAGTACTATCAATTCTGACCAGCTATATCTCTGCTTTATCTAGAGTTTCTTACCCAATGGTCTATAAATTAGAAAAGCTGAAATGCTTTTGGGGTGAGTAGGAGCTGGACTTAGAATAATGAAGATCTTCCATGCAATCAAAAAGTAGAGCATCTTCTATATACATTCTTCATCCAGAAAAGAACCACAACTAGGAAAAATCCACAGAAATGGTAAATCTGGTTTTCTTCCCATTTCAAAGAAAAAGATTGATACAAACCTAGGCCATATGCTTGTTCATTTTGCTTTTTACAACTCTATCTACGGACTCACAATTAGGCATCTGAAATTGAAGCAGAATTGTCAACTTACCTTCTATGTCATCTGGAACCGTAGCATAAGTGTTCGAAAGGTTAAGCTTCAGAATGTCAGGATATTCTTTATTTACAGTCAAGCTGGGTGGTGTCACTAGATCTAGCATTTCCTTATACCTGGAGGAAAGCAAAGAGGGTGGGGGGAACCCAGATAATTTATTCATTAATTATGCACGCTTGCTAATGACTCCACTTTTTTCCCTAGGAATACAAATATTAAAGCTGATTACTTAAACCCAGCCTTCATATAAATTCTACATAAACAACATTCACGAAAAAAAGTTTTCGTCAAAGGGAAAATGCTGAATTAAAAATCAAGCACTGACTTTCCTCGGAGATTACAACTATAGTTGATTAAATATTTTCCTGTACATCCTGAATTTTGTCATCAGATGATTACATTTATGTATTGCTTAAATGCCACAAGGAGCAAGGCACGAATTCTAGTATTACCATTACTTTCCAATGCATATGATTTTATCTAGAGAAGACTGCAAGTTACTACATGGTTTTAAAAAAGGAAAGCTCTTAACAGCATTGCTCTTATGGAAGATTTAAAGAGAGGACACCGTTAAATGGGAAAAATCCAGGTTAACATGCCCAGTCAATTTATTACTGAAATGAATATGATTTAAGCAGACTTCATTTTTTGTAGAATTTGGTTTAAACAAATAGACCAGTGTTTCTCAACCCTGACAACTTTAGGATGGGTGGACTTTACTACTTGCTGGGGAATTCTAGACTTGAAGTCCACTCATCTTAAAGTTTCCAAGGTTGAGAAATATTGTACTAGACTCTCCCTTAAAAAAATCTTTCTGTGATCAGGATATTCAATGTCAAGCCAATTAGATACCATTTCTAATGTTACTTGGTTGGCTTTCATCATATTTTTCTCCAATAATTAGCAAATACACAACATGCAGCATTTTCAGAGATGGATCTGAACAAATTCCCATGCTAGCTAACACTGTAAGTAATTATGTTTTGCAAATTTGGAGACGCTGCTGAAATATTTAGTAACATCAAAGTATTCCTGGCTGATCGGAAAATAGCCAAAGCAGGTACAGAAGTCATTGAACTTCCTTAAAGGACATACCAATAAGTTACAAAATCTCCCAGGAAGTAACATTGGAAACCACTTTTACAATTTTATCAAGAAAGGTACAAGGAAGCCATGGCAATGTAATCACCAGTAGTCAAGCTTTTTACCCTTTATGAATCTACATTTGACAGTCATTTTAATTACTGAATTAGTCTATTCATCTATTGTTGCCTAGTTACTATCCAAGCTACTCTAATTGCAGTCAGTATTAGAGAAAGAGAAGGGTTCTTTAAATATAATCCATCAACTCCCCCCCACATCTTAACAAATTATGCCTCCTTATCATAACATTCATAATTTTCTTAAAAGGAGGACAAGCAGATTTTAAAGATTTTTTTTCTTCCATTGAATTGTGTCTAATTCTCAGAGAGTGCCTGAATAACTCCCTGCAGTTTTCTTAGCAAGGGTTTTTTTTTTTTTCAGAAGTGGCTTGCCATTGCCTCTTTCCTAGGACTGAGCGAAAGTGGCTGGCCCAAGGTCATTCAGATGGCTTTGTGCCTAAGGCAGAACTAGAACTCACACTTCGAATTTTCTAGTCTGATGCTTTAACCACTAGACCAAACTGGCTCTTAGCTCCTAAAAAATACATATTGATATTTACTGCTTGAGTTTTTCAAATATCTTAGGTTTTGCTGATTATTCAAATTTTTTAAAACTCTGATACTGTAGTTCTAAAGCAGGACTGTCAAACTCACGGCCCACAGGCCAGATGCGTCACGTGCTGGCTACGCCCACACCCGTTTTAGCAAAGGGGAAAAAAGTCACGATACATCACGTGACGACAACGTGACAACGCGAGTTTGACACCCCTGTTCTAAAGGATGCGTAGTTCCTCAGAAATCTGATTAGCACCTCTGCAATTAAATAAGAAACAAAGGAATTACTGAGAACAACATGTTTCCAACAAAGTCATTTGAAAAAAAAATCAGCTCAGGTTTGAGCACTGAAGATGCTTATACAGTTGTAGAAAATCAGTATGCATTCCTCCCTTTTACCATCCACATAACTGAACATCAAGGAAGTCACTCATGCGAAGACCAAATTATACAGAACAAAATCTCTACAGACAACAGCATACTGCTAAAGTAATTAAGGTGTTAGCTGCATCCCACTCAGGTCTATCTCTGCAGAATAAAGGACCAATATGGCATAGCAGACAGAGAACAAGACGTTGGTCATATCATATGATAGGGACAAATGTGATGGTTTTTGCTCTCATCTTGCAGCGTTACACTTCACACTGAAATTGCATTGGCCTTTTCTAGTATGAGAGACAAATTAATCATTTCTTACTTATCCAGTTTTATTCTCTTTATACTGCTGAGATAAATTTATGATGAAAAGGAAGGAGAGCTATATATATTACCATTAGTCTGAGAATCTTATTCTCTCCAGACTCTCAAATCTCAAAAAAAAAAATTACTGCATATTCTATTAACTACCTACTCAACCACAATGAAAAGCATCACTCTGCAGGTTCAAAGAGGTATTTTGTGTTTTTAAAAAGAGATCCAAAGTTCAACACAAGCGTACATGAGTAGCTTCAGATGAAGGAACTCTCTATTTCTTAACTAGACTCCTGCAGCAATTCTGCCCCAACACAAAATTAATGCATTTTTGGTGAATCTCTTTATTTTTGCATTGTTGGTTTCACAAGTCTTCACTGCAGTCATACAGAGACACCCAATTCGAGCAGTACAGAAAAATATGTATTCCCCCTCCCCTCCCGCCGTATCCCATCCCATCTAATGTTCTGTTTTACAGCTGTACAGAGCAGATTGCACCATTTGTTAGACCTGTCGTCACTCTAGATCCCCTGGGGCTGCAACATTAAGGCAAAAGCATGATTGTGCTTTTAGAAGAGTACTCCCCAGCAGTGCAAGGGAGCAGAACTTGGGAGCTGACAGCTGGGAAGTGGGAACGGGAGGAGAGCAACTTCAAAAGGATCCTACTGCTGCTAATGGATTAAAAGCATATGGAAGGTTCCAAGTAGGGCCTGAACCAGCTCACCTTTTGATTTACCCTTGTGGGCCTTTGTTCAGCTACCTAAGCTGCAGATGACTACCTAGGCTCTGAGATAAAGATACAGCATTCAACAGTCGAAAGGTAACAGATGGCATGGCAATGACCATAGGGAATGACGAGGGGGAGAGCAAGTTACTGAGGTTAAAGTCACTGATTTAAGGGATGCAGAATATGAGAGTGGCTCACCTAACCTATAGAAGGAAGCCTCTGCTTTCTAATATATGTAACAGGAGAAGTTGTTGTTTTTTCTGTAGCATATGGCTTCATCTGTAATGGACACAGTACGACAGTTTGCCCAGGGGTGGGTTCTATTTACCTTTACTACCTGTTCGCAACAGGAGCTCAATTCGCTCGTGCGCATGCGCTACTGCGCATGCACAGATCACCCATGATGACATCATGGCGGGGGGGCGGTTTTACTACCGGTTTTATAGAACTGGACCGAACCTGGAGCAGCCCACCACTGTGTTTGCCATGAAAGCAGGTTTAATATTCCTGCCTCAATAGATGCAGTCAGGAAACCAGCCTTGGAGACACTCTGCCAGCAAAGCTAATATTGAACTAGAACAGTGTTTCCCAAACTTGGCTATTTTAAGATGCATGGACTTCAATTCCCAGAATTCCCCAACCAGTATGCCTGATTGAGGAATTCTGGGAGTTGAAGTCCATACATCTTCAAAGGGTCAAGTTTGGGAAACACTGAACTAGAAGGATCGATGGTCTGGCTTGGTAAATGGCAACTCCCTAAGCTGTGATAATGTTAATTATGTCAGTACTTGTGAAAGCCCGCCATTAAGACATTTTCATTTAGTGGAAAACAAAGTTAACTTCTATGTCTGTTCTTGCATCTCATGCTTATGACTGGTCAAGTGTCTGTTTACAAGAAAAGAGGAGAACTGAATTTTGGATTGCAGGATGGAAAGCGCTCTTAATCCCACCCTTCCTCACTCTGCTGCCCTTCCCCTTCACAAAAGCTCCTGCTTATGTTCAGAAATATAGATTTTGAAGGTAATGGCCATGCTTCCAAGTTTTAAAAGAAGAATTTAACATAATCAACAATTCACCCTACATAAAAATAATCTCCAATGCATTCATCACCTGCAGCCTATAATTGTACAAAACTCCAAATGGATTACAGTTCTATCTGCATCCACTGAATCCACAGGCATATAATGTAATTAAAGTCACTAAGTAGCAATGTAATTCAAGAAAGGAGTATTAAAATGCCCCCAGAGTCTATCTCCAATTATGTTTTTTGATTGGTACTTAATCAGGCATGCTGTCATGTGTTGAGAGCACAACTGTCTATAAGTGCCCTGAAATCAGATTCTAATTTTTTTTTAAAAAAATTTTGATTTATATGCCGCCCTTCTCCGGAGACTCAGGGTGGCTTACAATGCATTAAGCAATAGCCTTCATACTTTTGTATATTTATACAAAGTCATCTTATTGCCCCCACAAACTTGGTCCTCAATTTACCTACTTTAGAAAGGATGGAAGGCTGAGTCAACCTTGAGCCTGGTTTAAAAAAAATTCAGTTTTAAAAATTTAAAACTGATAGATCTGGTATTACAATTTTCCCCAAAAATAATTCCCCAATTTTACTGGGAATTATGGGGACAGATGTCCAACATATATGCGAGGCACCAGAATAGAGAAAGTTGCATTAGCAGAACCTAACACAATAACAGTAAACACTGCAATGGAGTAAAGTGACTCAAAATATGAACCTTCATGATTTAAGTTGCTGTGAAAATTAACAATGAACAGTTACATAAAATGTAAAGTGGTAGATATGAGTATATCCCTTTGCGAACAATTATGTTTGTAGTTAATTGAATTCAGATGCACTCTGCTATCTAGTTTCATTTAGATTCATTAAGCTACATAATTTATATGCAAGTACAAAATAATTAGCCTTTGGCTTTAGAATACTGCCTAGAAATAACCTGTTCCCAGGTCACACAGAGTCAACAACGGAACTGGAAAT